GATTCGAGTTCAACGATAAACGATTCATCGAATCATTAGATATTTTTACTAAATCTCAAAGGAGAAAGAGAAAACTATTAGGTATTATTTCTAATTAGACATTTTATTACTCTATTTTCCATTGGTTAATTTTTCTTATATTCTTTATACCTCATTGATCTGATATGAACACTGAGATATGATATGATATAAATGTTATTTATCTTTTATACGATTATATTTTTTTAAATTCTTGAAATATACAAGCGAAGGAAGTTACACTTGGTATTCCTTTTATATCATTGAATCGATCCAGATCGAACATAATTTAATTTATTATCGAAACAATCGTCGAAACTTATCGATAATCGTCACGTTAAATGGATGAGAAACTAATGAGCGTCCAAATGCGATTTATCTTATCGATAATTATCCTTATCCTTTTTTTTTACGTTTTCATCAAAGTATTATTTTTCTTGAATGTATGTCATTTGTCAATTTAATATCGAAGTAGAACAGGACAGAACAGAAGATAAAAATTTTATCGTTCTTTTACGATAAGATTTTTCCTTGGATAAAGCCAAGCTAATTTTAATTTTTCAGCTAATTTTATCCTTCGAGAGAAATCTTTACGAAATGGACGATTGCTCTTGTGACTCTCAAGTTATCCTAAATGGGGTCGTGAAAAGTCACACGAATCGTTCCCTTCGTCGTTCTCTTCAATCGTAACCTTCCATTTCTACTTCTACTTCTACTTCTACTTCTACTTCTACTTTTTCTTTCTCGACTCTAAGACCTTGGCCTGATTTTAGCAAAAGAGAAGGAGAGATAGGAGAAGGCTTTCTATAATAGTTTCGTTTCTTTAACGTTCCTCAATGTGATTCTTATAGTTAAGAAAATTATATGATCTTCGTCGGTTACGTAACGAAGTTTTACGTGTGGTTTCACCAAATGGATAGTCATCAAACAATTATACAACGGCTAATTTGATGTTTATTTTATTTAATGACGGATAATAAAAGAAAAGCGAATGAAAAAGGAGAAAGGTGAGATAGGGGAAGAACACCAAAAAAAAAAAAAGGATTTTTAACGAATGACTTTTCCAACTACCCCGTCTATTAGTGGCTCCATTAGAGGCACTTTCGAACGGTCATCGAGCTCTCAAGCGACCCGTTATACCACTATTAAAAAGATATAATTAGAACGAGTGGATGTACCTTTGTGCTTTGCCGACGATGTGTCAAACCGCTTGGCTTTAAGTACCAGAATGCATTCATGTTGTAAAATACACTGTAAATTTTCGCTAAGGTACTTCGATGATTGGAGTGCTCATTAAACTCATGCGGTTTATTCCTCGATTTTCGAAGTAACCATTTGAAATTTAAAAGGAAAATTCTGATTAATTAATCTGTTCGGATCATATACAAGAAGTTCCACTATAATTTAATTATCTTATTTTAACTCTTAATTGTACATGGGATTTCGATATTACAAAATATTAATATTTAAGATAATAAGATACGTGTAACAAATTAGATTTTCATTAACTTTTGTGTTAAAAATTTATGATCTCGTAATTTTACAATTATGTTTATTTTAATATTTATTTAATAACTGATACAATAATAATTTTCTTCTACAAATGTATACAAAAATCGCCTAAAGAGTCAATGTTTTGCGAGGATATTAATTTATATTTATAATTTTATTTGATGTATAATTTATATTTAAATATCTTGTATGACAGTTCTTATTGCTTCTTATAATTGATGAGCAAAACTTCTTTTTAAAGAAGAATAAAAGCATTCGAAACGATTGGAACTCGTTGAACTCCTTCGAATTTCGCGCCAAGCAAGTTTTCAATGGTACCGTTCTTGCGATGAAATCAAAAGGTTCTTTATCCTTGATCGATCTGCCTCTTCACAATGGTCATCGTTAGCGAGGCTCGTCAATCTTCGTGCGTCGACGCTTTACATTTTATGTATCGATCGAAAGACATGTTAGCTCTACGTAACGAGAAATGTAAAAGTGTATATAAGCCACTTCGGAAGCTCGTAAAGCATACGCGTTATATCGTTGTGTGTACGAAAAAAAGCGTGAAAGTGGAGAGATAAAATTAATTTGCGATTATATATTCGGTAAGAAAAATAATAAGAAAATTAAGTCCGTGTAATATGATCATCGGTATATATATGTATATATATTATATTTATAATTATATATATTTTATAGCCATTTACTATGTCAATAAAATTCGAAAAAAAAAGAAAATAAAATTAAAACATCATAATTAAAGATTCAATTGAATTTGAAAATATAAATTAAAATCTATCGTATATAAAATAAATTGATAGATAATTCAACTTTTATTCGTATCTCTATTTAATGCCATGAAATAGAAAATATTCTTTTAAAGATATGTCTTATAGACGAGAAAACTGAGCAAATAGAAAGGAATAGAGAAGAAGAGGAATGTATGTACATATATGTGTGTGTATCTATATATAAATATATATATACACATGCAAACACAATTATGTCATACATCTTGATAGTTCGCATATATATATATATATATTTATATATGTACATATATACATCACGACGATCATCAAATACTGACTTTGGTCAGCTTGCGTCATCGCTTGCTGTGGTGGCTAAGGGACGAGGTGGTATATGCTGCTTGATCATGAATGAACGCGTGGAAGAGAGTGAGTGGAAGCAAGAGAGAAAGAGTACGCGGTTGCGCGCGCGCGAACACGACCACGCGTGTAGGGTCGACAGGCCGGCATTTAAATACAATTTAAAGTGAACATAGCCAAAACGGGTTGCGGAGGTCGCGTTTTAACCGTGAACGAGCGTGAGAACGATTCTCAGCTCTCGCCTTAGTATACCGTCCTTCACGGACCCTTTTCTTGTCTTTTTCTCTGTACCCTTTAGCGTGTCCTTTTGCCGTTCGAACGTATGCCTTCCTTATGAGTCTATCTTGCATTTAAATCGAGTATTTAATTTTACGTTTTATTTATTTCTTCTTTTTTTTTTTCTATTGAACTTTAATACTTCCTTTATTTAAAAATCATTTCCTTCGTTATCTTTTTTATTGAAAGTTCGTTGATACTTTTCGATCGGCGGTAATTTAAAAAATCTAATTAAAATAATTTTTTTCTTTTAGCGGCATCGTTAAACGAAACGGTTCAATATTTAAACCACTTTTCTTTTTTTTGTTTTTTTTTGTAGCGAACAAGTAAATCATTAGATAATTTTTTCGTTCATTTTAGATAGCGTGACATTTATTTTATAAATATTATAACATTATTAATAGCTGAGTTCACTTTCTATTTTATTTATACATCTAATACCAATGATAAAAACGAGTAAATATTTTGTAACCATTTTGTACGAACCTGATATTTATTTCTCTAAGTAAAGAACCCTTAGTTATATTTCTTTTTTCTTTTTCTTTTCTTTTTTTTTCATTAATTGGAATTAAGTCGTGTGACATAACGACACGACGGACGTTTTATATACATAGTAATTCCTTTTTTAGAATTTTGCACGCAGAACATCGAGATCGCACGGCTATAAATATCAAACGCGTTAACGAGGAATGCGGCAGTGTCCTCTGTATATAATGAGAGACAGAGAAAGAAGAAAAAAAAAACTAAATATAGAACGGTATTTATCCTGAGCATGACTCTGCTAACTTTTAGGTACACATAAATGCGACAGACGCGTGCAAACTCGCTTTCTATGCTTTGTTTGCGCGCCTTGCGTTTGTATTTGACGAAGCCCTCGCTCTTAGCTCACTTTCTAACGTTCTTTCGTCTCACTCGCACGCTCTAGGACATTCGATCGCGATCCGTTTAGAATAGTTTTGCCATCGAGCAAACCGTGACTCGGATGATTTCGATCGATCGACTCGTTTCTCGACGTGTCGATTTCTACGTCGTAGAAAATCTTCTTTATATTCGCAATTCGGCGAACTGACCATTTTGGGAGCCAGCATGTACACGGATTTGTAAATCTAAGCACGTTGAAGTGATGTATCGCTCGTGTAAAATTTACACACATATATACTTAATACTTCTACAAGCGTTCGATCGACGATACGCTCGACCGAACAGGAATTTTACACTTGACAATTTCGAGGACACGTTTCTAACGTGTCTTTACTATTAGCAAGGTCGTATACATAGCTTCGAGAGATAATAGTAAAACTCTTTGAAATCTATCGAGGCCGTTCGTTTTCTTTCCTCCTCTTTTTATTTCTTTTTCTTTATCTTCTTCTTATTTTTTTTTCTCTTTTTTTTTCTTTTCTTTTTTTTTTTTTTTTTTTTTTTTTTTCTTTTCTTTTCTTTTCTAAAAGCAGAGAACGATGAGAAAGAAGCAGTAATGGCCGTCTAATTCGTCTTAAATGTCACGTACGATTTTAATTGATATCGAAAATATTTATCTTACACAATGTCGTTACGTTGCTGTAGCTTAAACGACATTTGTCATCGATATCGTTATTGAACATTTCCATTTCATCGAGTCACACTACTCTATTCACGCTTATCGAAGTATCATAAATGTGATTCTTGACTGGGAGGTCGTAGTATTTTTATAATCCATTTATAACATGTATACATGAATAAAATGAAAAAATTACCATGATTTTCGTGGTACTTTGAATAACGACGAATTTTATGATTTCGTCGTTAATCATATTGACAATTTAATAACGTCTAACTAAAACGAGTTTACCAACCCGTTTGATTTTAATTCGAAAATCTAAGCGTTGATTATAAATCGTGATTTGTTATATTGATCGTCAAAAGAAAGGTGAGATTTTGAATATTAGATAAAGAAAAAGAGAAATAGAAGAAGTTTAAAAATCCCGTAATTATTGCGGAGATTAAAATACATCGTAATTTGAAAAATTTTGTAATCGAACGATGGAATTTTCATTGATAGCTAATATATGTTCGATGACTGAGTGATTAATAATACAAGTCTCTTATTTTTTGAAATTTTTATAGAAAATTCTTGATGAGCGGCTAAGTCAAAGAGTCGATTCCATGATCCAAGCTGGTTTGGTAGACGAGCTACTCGATTTTCATCATAGGTACAACGAACAAAGGATTAAGTCCAACACGTGAGTGCATGAATTAGTAAGTACTTCATATCGAACGATAGAAAATAAAAAATAACGAGATTCTAACCGATTGCTTAATTAGGAAATTAATGATATTCATGTATCATATATATATATATATATATATGAGCGTTTATGAATAATAAATACAAGCATACATGTTTTTACAAACACGCGTACACGCACATTAAAATTATTAATATTAATATGTAGCAATAATGAGGAGTTTCGATTGTTCATTTATACGTTAAGGACTACTTGAAAAGAATATTTTCATAATAATTATTTTTAAAGAGTAGTAGCAAAGGTTAGAATGGACTGCGGTAGAAGAGGTTCTTTTAGAGGCCTTCGAGTGTGTCGAGACTTAATTATCGTTCGTGCGCGGTCGAATAACCTCGGTCACGATAACGTGCCCGCATATACGAATGATTTCTTTGATCGAACCGGTCATGCCAGTTGGTGCATCGTTAAGACACGTGCTCTCTTCTCGAACCTCAAGTACACTCATATATATCTATATTGTACATAAACATATATATATATATATATATATATATATATATATATATATGTTTATGATATATATATCAAGCAAATTTTAAAAAGCACAGAAAAGTATTAAAGGCAGGATTCCTTGAAACGCGACGTTAATGTAATTTCTTCTTTTAACGGCGAATATATTTTGTAATTTTTTAAAGAAAGCAGTATTAAGACGTTGAAATGACATAAATTATTTTTTATACATTGATCCAAGTTAACTGGTTTTATTTTCTGGTTTTGCTTTTTACGAAAAAAAAAAAAAAAAAAAAAAATCCTGAAACGTTTATATCAAGAAATTTTATAATTATAATAAAAGTTTTTCCTTTTTGTTTTTTTCTTTTTTTTTTTTTTTTTAAGATAACATGGTAAATTATATATTTGAATATTTGATTGAGTATTTTATAATGATTAAAAAGATCGATTTTCGATTGACTAATTACGAGTTTCGCGGTGATATTTTTATCAAAATGTTATAAATTTTAAACAACCTATTTTAGTGGCACAACAAAGCTTTTAAAAGCATCCGATGTGTTCGACCGTATAAAGACACTACGTTAACTATTATTAACATATTAGAAAGTTGACAAGGTGTACTTATTTTATAAGCCATGTTACGAGAAAAATTCAACTTCCTATATGTCTATCCAACTTCTTTTTTTTTTTTTTTTCTTCAATATAACGCGTGTGCATTAAGTATGATAAATCGATAGATATTGACGTTACTGTAGGAGCTATTTTAAAACTGTCATGTTATTTTTTGTCATATTATTTATTTATTTTATATCGTGTTAAATGACAAAATTTCTTCAATTCGCGATATTATTGAAATCATTTTTTAATTTACTTATTGTGTAACAAATTGTAAATACATTTAATATTATACAGAATTTGACGACGAATGTATTAATCATTTCACATTATTTATACTAAATTCATCTTATTATTATTATTATTATTATTATTATTATTATTATTATTATTATTATTATTATTATTATTATTATTATTATTATTATTATAATTATTATTATTAAAATTTTATATATCTCCAATTGTATAACTAATTATATAATCCAATTGAAAATCTTTAAAATGTTTTATATGGAAATGATAAAATCCATTGTCCGTGATTTTAATTGAATTAATCTCTCAATTAATCAATTATAATTAATAATAATCTCGATTATCGATATAAATGATAATCGAATACATCGTAATCGAGTGGGTGAGGCCATTTTCTCCCTCCCTCCCACCCTCTCTCTTTCTCTCTCTCTCTCTTTCTCTTTTTCTTGCACGTCCATACGTACACCTCCGTTTATGAGGCAAGTTGCACGATCGAAAAAGTTATTCGGAGGCGTGGGAGTTCGTGGAGGCGCGCTCGTGCAAATCATTTCTTCGAAGTCACGAGAGCGTGCCACTTGGCGTACCGACGAGGGGAACACGTGAGCTGCGATTTGTATACGAGCGACGGTGGTGCTGCTGCGTGAATGGAGAAAAAGAAAGAGAGAGAGAGAGAGAAAAAGAGAGAGAGAGAGAGAGAGAGAGAGAGAGAGAGAGAGAGAAAGAGAGAGAGAGACTCCTCACCTTACTCGCTTCCGGAAATTGCGAGCGTACGCTAGCGACCGGATGTCGGACAGAAAATAAAGGAGGTAGGCGTTTGCGTGGAATGGTTACTACTACTACTATTACTACTACTGCTTCTAGTACTAGAACTCTTTTAGTATATTACGAGTGAAAATTATACAAGATTTAATAATAGATGTAATAAAAATGGAACGATTCGCTGATTTGCTGTTAATCGTCAATGATAATAATAGTAAAATCAAGATGTTAGTTAGTTTTTTTTATATTTTTTACATTCACTAAACACATATTTGGTGTCGATTTTTTTTTTTTTTGTTTCTAGTATTATTTTATGTTCGTTAAAATCGATTAATCGATTTGACTTCTGCAATGTTTCCTTCAAAATATTTTCTGAATAAAATAGATCAATAATTTATGTAAATATCGTATAAATTTGAAATACGTCTTTATCTCGTAAAAATTGAATTATATAAGACTTTGATAATAATTAAAAAATTAAGAAAGTACAACAGTTTTTTAATTTTATGTCTACGTAATGTTTTAGTTATCTTCAATTTTCTCTTTAACTGATTGATCAGCTTTACTTCTGCAATATTTTTTGTAAATATTTTCTTGTAAAGTTGATTAATAATTCGTTTAAATCTCGTTTAAATTGAAACTATTTATCTCATACATTTGAAGAATTTTTTTTAAGAAATAGAAGAAGAGGAAATAGAAAAAGAGGAAAAAGGAATAGAAAAAGAGAATAGGAGAGAGAGAATTAAAATGAGAGTTGGAATAAAAAGATATTGGAAATGCTCGACCCGTGCTCGGCCTCGTAAACAATTAAGGTATACCACCGAAAAGATCGATTATTTTCATTTTGCCCTTTGCGTTGTTGGCTTTCTTAGAAAATCATTTGCATTATGAGAAATTTATTGTACTCGCTTTCTGCATACTTGCTACGGAGAAAGTTTCTTTCCCGTCGTTTTGTACCGGACACCTTTCTTTTTTTTCTCTCCTTTGTTAACAGATACAAGCGTTTGATAAAAATTAAATTAACACTCACGCTCACGTTTTATATGTGTATGTGTGTATATATGTATACGTATATAATATAAACATGATAAAAGATATTCACACGATATCGTCTACGTGGTGTTACCGCGAAATTAAATTCCTCCTGAGTTAAAATTATTTTATTTCCAAATATTGTTTAGAAAATAAAAATTTTGTCAAAGGAATTATTATTTAGAATTATACTTTATTGTTTATTTTATACATTACATCGTCAATCTTATCGAGAAACGATTATGGATAATAACTGATACTTTTGCAACAAAAAAGTCCATCTCGTTGGTTTAAATTAATATTTAATATAAAGAAGACTTCTGAAAAAATACTTCGTAACGTTACTTTTGATTTAATTTCAATCAAATTAACAACGTATTATCACTCCGTTATTTTAGAAATTGTATAAAATATACTTAATTACATGTATTATGTAATTATTCGAAGATAAGAATATATAAGTGAAATATGTTATATTTATACAATACATGATATTAGAACATCTTCATATTTTAAGATTTATTTCTAGACAGATAAGAAAGTATCTATTATGTTTTCGTAAATACGTCAGTTCTCATGATATTCGACGAACTCGATCATTTAAATCGACGAAATAGTAAATATAAAAGACCGAATCGTTTATTTACGATCGAGAAATGTTAAGAAAGATCGGAGCTCTGGTAGCATTGCGTTCACACCGCGTCATCGAATTCCACAAGAATCAGATAACACAGCACGAAACGTCTTCCTTATCGTTCCTACAATTTTTCGTGAACCTTGCACGAGTGAAGTACCTACTAGCAAATACCAGGAAGTATTCTTACGTACTTGACTAGAACTTGACGATTTTTCATTCGTTAAACGATGTTCGTCTCTCTTCACAAATGGAAAGGAAAAACAATGTCTAAATTGTGTTTGATCTGTCGTAACCTGTCAAACCCTTTTAGTTGTACATCTCGTATTTCTATTTAACAACTCGTTAATTTACTTTGTACAAATTAACAAGTCAACATCGATCAGTATGAATGTTAAATATGCATCATGGTTTTTTCTTTCTTTCTTTTTCTTAAAATTTTTTTTTAATTTTTATTTTATTTATTTTTTTTTTCTTCTTTTCTTTTTTTCTTCGTAAAAGGGAAATGATAAAAATAATCAGTACGCATTAATAAAATCGTTGGTAAACTTTGACACACAAATTAATTAAGAAAGTGAATATATATTATATTTATATACATATTTAAAATAAAATTAGTGAAGTTAAGTATCCATGATATATATATATATATATATATATATATATATATATATATCATTTATCATTGTGTTAATTCATAAATCGATCATTCTTTTTAAAAAGAATCTTAGTTTATCTATTTCGCAAAGAAAATACGATCACTGATATGGTCAAAGTTCAGAAAAGATTCTACGTTCTCTCTTTTTTTCTTATCTTATAAATGGACCTAAAGTAAAATCTGTTTTCGCAGTTAAATCTCCGATAAATGTCTCGGATCGTTCGGAACAACGAATCCATGTGACTCTGTTTTGAATGTGACCGGTATAACACAAAGAGGAGTATTCTAGTAGTTGTCCGTCCGTTTGGAAGAAGAGTGACCTAAGAAAACGAAGAATCAGCTTATAAAGGCTTAACGCTTAACGTTAAGTGAATTACGAATAGCTGAGCAGACTATTGCGATAGAGTCGATATCAAATCGATTTAATGCGATACGTTCTGCCTTAAGCCTTGTGAAAAGAAAAAATAGGAGATACAAAAAAAATCGTCGATAACTGATCAGAAAGATCTAGGTCGGCTATTTTTATTTTTCTCT